GAAATAATTCATCAATACATTAAGTCAATACAAGACTGTCAATACACATTAAATCAAAATAAGACTTAAAATGAATCGGAAACAATCAATACATTAAATCAATACGAGACTTAAGTAAATCAGAAACAATTTCGTCAATATATAGAGCGAAACTTAAAGTAAATCAGAAATAATACATTTAAATCAATATAAAACTTAATTTAAATCAGAAACAATTCTTTATCATGCATTAAATCAAAATAAGCAATACTTTAAGTAAATTGGAAACAATTCGTCAATACGCATTAAATCAAAATAAGAATTAAAGTAAATCAGAAGTAAATCGAAAACAATATTATTAAAAATAGTTAAAATAAAATTTAAATTATATTTAAAAGGAAACTGGCTAAAAAAAGAAATTCGTTAAATTGTTTAGTTAAACAATAGAGAGTATTACTAAAAGGAAAACAATACAAATAAAAATAGTCATGTAAATATTCCCATTTCAAACTTTTATTTTTCTCTCAATTTTCTCAAACATAAAATCAAAAAAATCGTCTTAATAAATTACTATATTTGAACTTTGATTTTCTTAATTCTCTCAAATATAAAATCAAATAATAAGAATTTTTAGCATACTTGATGATGATTATGAGGAATCATCATCAAGTCAAACTTCTAATACATCTTCTCATAGAAGAAAAAATAGATCGATTGCTAGTTTAATTGATGAAAAATCTATCTCTAATTCAAAGCCATTAATATCTCATAATACTAGAAGTAAATTTCAAGATTCACAAAGTTTTATTTTGGATACATTTCATCAATTTGGAATTCAAGAAGAAACAGGAGAACTATCAATATCAACTTCCGATAGGCAGAACATTGAACATGAATCTGATGATGAACATCAAGAGGATTTTGATTCTAATTTCTTACCTTGAAGACGTGTAAGAAAGTACACAAATCATCCCAAATCTGGTATAAATCCTTTTGATTATTCTAAAATCGAAGCTAATCAACCTTCAGAATCTTCTGAATTTACTACTGAAGAAGATGAAGTTACAAGTAAATCCGATGATAATAAATCTGATGATAATAGTAATTTTGAAACATTTGAGAATTATGCATCATCAGATTATAAGCCATTTCGAAATCCATCAAGTACAGAATCAATTAATGATGACTGATTTTTATAGATATTAATTTGGATCATATCATTTCAGACAAGATTTAACATTACAGAGTCTGCAACTAAGGCTTTGATAAAATTTATGAAATTGATTTTGACAGAAATCAGAGGTGACAATTTCAAAGACTTTCTAAATTCAATGTTCTTAACAAAGAAGGTATTTGGAATAAAAAACAGATTTCAATATTTCGTTTCTTACTCCAAATGTCATAAACTGTACCAAAAACAGGAAGTGGTAAATTTTAGACAAAATAATATGTTAACTAAAATGAAATGTGATATGTAGAATTTCCCAATTCATCAATTCACAAATCGCGCTTTTGCAATATACCATTATCTCAAAAAATTGCCGTATCGACAAATCGAACAGTAATTCAACCTAATTTAATCTTTCCTTTTTGTGGAATACGACAACAACTCACTTTCATATATCGTCAGCCTCATTTTAAAATTAATTTAAAACATTAGATGAATTGTCAGCATTTTGTCAACATTATAACTGACATATATGATAGTCAAATATGGCAGACGTTAAAAGAATCTTCTGAGGATGATTCACCAAAATTTTTTTAAAATGAAGTGGCCGATTCTCACCTTGGATTAATGCTGAATCTTGACTGATTCCAGCTATATGATGGTACTGTTTATAGCATTAGAGTAATATATGCTGCTATATGCAATTTGCCACGATATATACAATTCAAACGTGAAAATTTACTGACTTTCGGTCTTTTACCCAGGCCAAATGAAGTCAGTTTACATAAAATTAATCACTATCTAGCACTAATAATTGATGAATTGGAATCTCTTTGGGATGGAATAACAATAAATCAAACAAATAAATGTAAAAATGATAAAAGAATTCATGCAGCATTAATCCTAGTTTCATGTGATATTCCTGCGGCAAGGAAAATTTGTGGTCATATTTCAG